CCCCCCCGCCCCCAGCGCTTTCTCGTCCACCTTTGGTCTGTCCCTCAGATCACAACCTGCGCTCTATGGAAGAGGGGATGCTCATGACTTTTAAACCTAACAATCCCCAGGAGTCCACTCCTGCCCATCTTTATCACTCTGTTAATAATTTTACCTGTAACCCCCCTCCAGATCCCACCGAGGAGGCTTCCCTAGAGAAAGGGCGGCCCATTACCATAATCCAGACTGGCCCCCCTGCAAAAACTCCCCTTAAAAGAGGAGTCCTTGGGCCCTTTTTTACCACCTCAAAAATCTCCAGTGGTGCCCCTCCCTGTTTCTTCATCTTCCCACTTTTGCGGGTCCTTACTTGATGAATTGGTTCCCCCTGTCCCAGATCTCGGCTCACTGCGACTGGTCCTCCAGGCTCGCAGGGAACATGTTGAGCTTTTAAGGGAATTGAAACCTCTTGACAAAGAACTTAAAGATCTTGCCCTTGAAGTGGTGGCTCCCAGCCCACTAAAACCATCTCAAAAATCTAGTAAATTAAAAAGTAAGCCTCAGCCTGTCCTGGCATTTCCTCTTACCCAGAGCCAGACCTCTGGGGACTCATCTGAGGCGGCTGTCCAGAGTGGCCCCTCAGGGGGTTTGGAAGATCAAAATGAGGAGGGGGATGGGAGGAGGAGGAGGAGCCATCATCTGAGGACCCCCCTCCAGGACAAACTTATCACCAATTAAATTTCTGCCTTGTTGAAAAGCTGAAATCTGCCTGTGCTCAGTATGGTTCTACAGCTCCTTTTACATTAACCTTGGTGGAAAACCAGAGCAAACATTGGTTGACTCCTAATGACTGGTATTTTCTTGCCCATGTGACTCTTTCTGGGGGTGACTTTGTCCTCTGGAAAACAGAATTTACAGAAAATTGTCAAGAAGTTGCTCAAAAAAATATTGAACAGCCATCCTTAAAAACTTGGACGCTAAAGAAACTCCTCAGCAATTCCCCTTATGATACAAATGCAGCACAGGCAAAATTCCCTCCTGACCTCCTGACCCAGATTCAAAATGCGGGGGTTCGGGCCTGCAAACGCCTGCCCCAAAAGAGTTTGGCTACCACCTCATTAGCAAAGATTCGTCAAGGCCCTGATGAATCTTTTAGTGACTTTGTTTCTCACTTAAATGATGCAGCTGAGAGACTTTTTGGGCCAAACGAACACGAAAGCACCTTTGTTAAACACTTGGCCTTTGAAAATGCAAACCCTGCCTGCCAGGAACTCCTCTGCCCTCATAAGAACAGAGTGGACCCGTCTGAATATGTCAGACTCTGTTCAGGTGTTGGCGCTGCCCATGCCATGGGATTAGCAATAGGGGCTGCCCTGAGGTCTTCACAACAGCCTGGAGCCCACACCTGTTATTTCTGTAAACAACCCAGACATTTCTCTAGGGAATGCCCCCAGAAAGGTCACAGGCTCCCACCCTTAGCCCAGCTGGCTCAGGATGCCGCCTCTATGAGGCCCCTGCCTTCCACTCTCTGCCCCGGCTGCAACAAGGGCCATCATTGGGCTACAGAATGCAGGTCAAAAACCAATTATCTCAGTCAGCCCCTTCCTCCATGGGTGCTTTGAAACTTTCAAAGGGGCCAGCCCCTGGCCCCAATGCCTCCAAAAGCACACCCTAGGGACTTGAGGTCAACTCACCCCCGGCCTCCCCAGCCTCAACAAATTCTCCCACCCCAGTTCCATTATCCTCCCTCTGGAGAGCAGCTCCAGGCAGTGCCGGATTGGACTTGTGTGCCACTGCCGAAACAGTATTAAACTCCCTTGAAGGGGCTCAGGTCATCCCTACAGGGGTGACAGGGCCCTTACCTCCTGATGTTTGCGCACTTGTCCTTGGCCATGCTTCTGTGGCCCTCCAAGGGGTCCAGGTCTACCCTGGCATAATAGATAGTGATTTCACAGGTGAAATTAAGATTCTGGCCACTGGTTCCATCCCTCACCGATGTAAAAGAAATCGGTCAGTCTAATAATCCTTTAATTAGTTCAAGGACACTTTCCTGGAAGGATGAGGAAGGAAACCAGGGGACCGTCACTCCCTTTGTGGTTCCGGGCCTGCCGGTTAATCTTTGGGGAGGGGACATACTTTCACAAATGCAAGTAATCTTATATAGCCCAAACTCTACAGTCACACAACAAATGCTATGGATGAATTAGATCCCTGGCACAAGCTTGGGCAAGGCAGCTCAGGGGCGAGTCCAACCAACTCAGCTCGTTCTCAAGGAGGATAGACATGGGCTGGGATATTCGGGTTTTTAGTAGTGGCCACTGACCCTCCTGTACTCCATGCAGACAAAATTACCTGGATGACCCAGACCCCTGTCTGGGTGGATCAGTGGCCCCTTACTCAAGAAAAGCTACAGGCCACCACTATGCTTGTACAGGAGCAGCTTATGGCTGGCCACATTGAGCCCTCCAACTCCCCTTGGAATACACCTATATTTGTTATCAAAAAGAAGTCAGGAAAATGGAGGCTCCTTCAAGACTTAAGGGCAGTAAATAAGGTAATGAGGCTTATGGGGGCACTTCAGCCTGTATTGCCTTCGCCTGTGGCCATTCCGGCTAAATTTTACAAGATGGTCATTGACCTTAAAGATTGTTTCTTTACTATTCCCTTGCACCCTGAGGACAGACCCTATTTTGCATTCAGCCTTCCCCGCCCCAATTTTCAGGGACCATGCTTCGCTACCAATGGAAGGTATTACCCCAGGACATGGCCAACAGCCCTACTCTGCCAGACATTCATGGCTCAGGCTGTGGACCCTGTCAGACTTAATTGGCCCCAGATATATATCTTACATTACATGATGACCTTCTCCTCACTGTACCTGACCCCATCTCCCTTGAGCAATGTTTTTCAGAACTCAGTAGAGCCCTTAATGGATTGGGACTACAGATTGCTCCAGATAAGGTCCAAACCCAGGACCCTTTCAGTTACCTGGGGTTGGAACTCCATTCAAACTGGGTCCTCGTTTCTCACATCCAGTTACGCACTGACCATCTCCATACCCTAAATGATTTCCAGCAATTGCTCGGGCCATATCCAATGGCTTAGGCCTTATCTTAAACTTCCTACGGACTCTCTCCTTCCCTTCTACAAGATCCTCCAGGGCGACCCTGACCCCACATCACCCGGTGTGCTTTCCCCTGCAGCTAACGAGGCTTTGATTCAGATAGCCATTGCCATTAACCAACAGTCTTGTTTTCAGATTTCCTATGCCATACCTCTATATTTTATAGTTCTGCCCACACCCCCCCCCCCAGGAGTCTTTTGGCAACATGCTCAGGAACCAAAACTTAAAGGCCAGATACTCCTCTGGGTCCACATGCCCGATGCCTTTTCAAGAGTCATTTCCATCTACCCCGAACAGGTGGCCTCACTCATTATGAAAGGACGACAGACCTCTCGCCAATATTTTGGTAAGGACCCTGATATCATACTCACACCCTATCCCAAGGATCAAACCCAGTTTTTGTTCCAAACCTTAGATAAGTGGGGAGTTGCCTTGGCAGGGTTTATGGGGACCTTGGATAATCATCTCCCAGATGACCCCTTGCTCCATTTTGCCCGGCTACATCCCTTCATCTTTTCAAAAATTACAAAAACCTGTCCCATTTCTTGGGCACTTACAGTCTTTACCGATGGTTCCGCTAATGGTGTTGCAGCCTTCATGGCCCAAGGCTGCCCTACCTTCTTCCTAACGCCTTTCCGGTCAGTGCAGTTGGTTGAACTTTCAGCAATTTAAAGGTTTTTCAGATCTATTCTGATCAACCTATTAATATCTATACAGATAGTTCCTATATTGCCTTTTCCATTCCCTTGTTAGAAACCTCTCCAGCCATAAGGCCTACCTCCAACGCCACCCCACTTTTCTCCCAGATTCAACAGCTTGTTCTGACTCGCCAACACCCATTTTTATAGGCCATATTAGAGCCCATAGAGAGCTTCCTGGACCGTTAACCGATGGCAATGCACAGGTCGATGCTGCCACCAGGTTAACTTTCCCTGTCATGGTTGGCTCAGTCCTACAGGCCCAAACTGCCCATAAGATCCACCATTTAAATTCTCAGACCCTCTGTCTTCTTTTTAAGATCTCTAAACAACAGGCCCGAGAAATTGTCAAACAATGTCCCTCTTGTGTTGTTTCTCACCCTGCCCCACACTTGGGAGTCAACCCTCGAGGCCTCCTTCCCAACCAAATCTGGCAGACAGATGTTACTCATTGCCCTGAATTCAGCAGACAAAAATTCATCCATGTCTCTATAGGTACCTTTAGTGGCTTTATCTTAGCCTCTCTTCATGCTGGGGAAGCCACAAAGATGTTCTTTCTCACCTGATTCTTGCCTTTTCTGCCTTGGGAAAACCATCTAAGATAAAGACAGACAATGGCCCTGCTTATACCAGCACAGGCTTCAAAAAATCTTGTGATCATCTACCAATTATTCATACCACAGGAATACATTACTTTCCCCAGGGACAGGGCATAATAGAATGAGCCCATCAGACCCTAAAGACCTGGTTGGCTCGCCTCAAGTCTTCTAACCTTCATTTTACCTCCCGCAGAGATCAGTTGAGCCATGCTCTGTTTGTTCTCAATTTCCTCACCTTAGGTACTGCAGGGCATTCTGCCACTGACAGGCACGGGCACCCTTCTCCAGATGCCACCCGGCCACTAGCCATGTGGCGAGATTCCCTCATGAGGCGTTGGAAGGGCCCTGACCTGGTCCTTATATGGGGATGAGGTTCAGACTGCATTCTTGACCAGATACACTCTGCTCCCAGATGGTTACCAGAATGCCTGGTTAGAGCTGTAAATATACCTGGTCTGCCCAGGAGAGATAACCCCTCTCCTGAAGAAACTTCTTCTGTTTCAAATGCTGTCCCTCTGGCACACAATCCAGGCTATTGTCTTCACCCATAGCAACCCCCACCAGCCCTTCAGCTCTGTTATCACTCTGCTCAGAGTTCCTGTGGGGGGACAGCGGGAACTTTACAGCAAACTGTGTTTGAGACCTTTCACACAACACACAAGTCCCATAGTCAATCACGTTCTGGGCTGAGCAGGGACACTGCTTGTCCAGTCCAGTCTGACAGCAGGGGTCATGTTTCCAAGGGCAGTGCTGAACTTTCATCCAAGGTGTCAGAAAGGCTTGATGGACTTGCTGGCCTTGGTGTCACAGGTGGTCATAGCCATGTTGGGCCAGCTTGACACATCCTGTGGCTGGCAGGTAGCACAACAAACAGGGTAGCACCAGAGATGTCACTCAGGACACTTAGGTCCCTTCCACCTAGACTAACCTATTATTCCTCAGATCAATTCCTAGATCTCTAGGAAGAGAAGCCGCGCTGAGATGACTACCTTGATGGGAGGCTGTTACTGCCATCACCTTAGCAGTCCTTCTGGGGGTTGAACCAACAGGAACAGGCACAGGACTCTGGTCCTGTCCAACCAACATTACTCTGAGCTTCAACTGTCCATAGACGAGGATATTGCCCAATTTGAACAGGGAATTTCTGTCCTCGAGTCTTCCCTTTCCTCCCTAGCTGAGGTAGTTTTACAGAACAGGAGAGGCCTGGATCTCCTCTTTTTACAACAGCGTGGCCTTTGTTTTTCGCCCAAAGAGAAATGTTGCTTCTTTACAGACCACACCGGGGTAGTCAGGGAAAGTGTGGTAAAGGTTAGAAAAGGACTAGAAAAAGAGAAAAAGAAAATGACAAGAGCTTGGGTGGTTCTAGAATTGGTTTTCCAACTCCCCTTGGCTAACAGCCCTTCTTTCCTCCTTCCTAGGACCTGTTGTAGGCCTGCTCCTGGTCCTTGCCTTTGGGCCATGGGCACTTTCCTGGCTCATTTGGTTCATCCGAAGCCAAAATACAGACCTGTGGGCCAGGCAGATCCAGGTTCATTACCACTGCTTTGATATGCAGGACTCCAGGCTTGAAATTTCCCCTGACAAGAGATGCCCCACACAGATCCCTTCACTCTGGGAAGGCTGCACCTGTGTGTGGGAAAAAGGCTCACTCAAGGCATGATTGGAGTGCAGCTGAGACTGCACAGGCTGGGGACCATGGTACCCCAAAATCCCGAGAGCCTGGATTATATGCCCTGTTGCATAGTGGTTGTGCGGTAGCAGCCTTGCGCTTACCCATTTCCGCTCCCTCAAAAAACTGCACAGTCCATTGATTCCCGCACTATGGGGACACCCGTGATGCTTGAGTCTGGAGAGACATTCCCTCTCGGACCTTTTCACAACCTTTAGAGGGATAGGGCCTCTGTAATCCTCCATGCAAAGCCTCTTTCAGAGCCCTCTTTTTAGACCATTCAAACATGGTTTATGTTGGCCCTTAGATTTATTACTAAAAAGGGGGAGATGTCAGGGACAAGGACAGAATCTCTAGTTAGTGGAAAAGTACAGACCCCCTGATAAAACAGGGAACTAGATCATCTTACAGTCAGGTTGCCTAGCAACAGGACATTGAGTCAGAGCCCTTGACCCTTTCACCCTGTAAACACCCTATATAAACATTCTGTTAGCTTGCCCCACCTCATGCAGATGACAGCTTCTTGCTCCCCCCACCCTGCAGGAACTATATAAACCCTTTTGGAGAAAAATCAAGTTGCACCTTGATCAGAATCTAGACTTGGTGTATTTTCTTTGTATCTCCTGTCCCTACATTTCCTCCTTAGGGTGGTTGAGTACCCATTGTAGCCCTGCTGGCTGGGGCACAAGCATGACTGTATGAAGTCTTAGATTATAGTAGAGGTTATTGTCTGTGCACTTGGTGACAAAGAGCTTCAGTCATAAAGTCTTCACACTTTGCCTCAAAATCCTCAAGTTTTATCTATAAGTGTATTAATGAAAACCTGTTTATATTATGCCCCTTCATGTCTGTAAGGCAGAAGTGACTTTAGTCTCAAACAACTTAGGGAGATAAACTGCTGAAGAAAAATTGGAAGGATATTCAAGGCATAGGAACAAGAGTGGACAATATGAAGAGGAGTCTGATCATGCAGGAACTGGGAAATATTATACTGGGTGAGATAGCCCATGCCCCATGTCCTCTTTCATATGCACAGCCTAGATTCTGACTTTTTCATTTAGGTTGCAATTCTTCATTCATGTTTTTAATTAGCAGTTTCTTTAAAGATCTGGAAGCTAGAATGGACATAGGAGAGGGGCTATAGATCAAGGTCTTAACACAAACTGTGGATATTAGAACTTATGAAAGTAGAGGGGGGACTACAGGGAGGATGGATTTAAAGTGCTGTGAGTACGTGCAGATGGAAGAATAGTGTGTATATTGTGTAACTCGACTCCTGGTGAGACGTACAAAATATCTGCTGACTCATGAATGTAGACAGAATTTTTCCTATGTCCCACAGCTGCTCAGTCCAAAATAAACATTCAGAGGCTTAATATTAATTACAAACTGCTTGGTCTATGGCTCAGGCTTACTGCTAACTAGCTCTTTTATCTTAAATTAACCCATTTCTATTCATCTATGTATCTCCACGTGTCTTATGGCTTTACCTGTTTTCCAGTACATCTTGCTTCCCAGCATCCCTCAGTGTCTCCCCTGACTCTGCCTTCCTTCTGTCTGACTGAATCTGTGCTTGTATTTCCTGCTTGACTATACCTTGTCTTGCCATAGGCCAGAGCAGCTCCTTTATTAACCAATGGTAGCAACATATATTCACAGCATACAGAAAGACCACCCCACAGCCCTTTCCCTTTTCTGTCTAATCAAAAAGGAAGATTTTCATTTTAACATAGTAAAATTACATATAGTGAAATAGTTATCAAACAAAAATTGAAGTTACAATATCTAGTCTATTTGTATATATATATATACAAATATATAGATATTTGTATAATATCTAGTCTAATTTGGCAAAATCAAAGAAAATACTCTATCATCTGTCCTATTTTTATGAGTCTAGAGTTTTTATATCTAATTTACCTTTTATCATAACTAAGGAAAACTATAACTATCTAGTCTTCAACTCCATCCAAGACCTCAGAAGGATATAATATTACCTAAATAACTTCCATAATTCTAGAAATGACAGAGACATTTGGCTGCCTGGATCTATAGTCTACGGGTCTATAGTCTACGGGTCTATAGTCTACGGGTCTATAGCCTACGGGTCTATAGTCTCTTGCATACTTTTTGGTGAAGCAGGAAATTTGAAGGACCGTTTTTACCTATTTTTGCAAAGTTCATCAGTTGTTTTTCTCTGTGTCCTGCAGGCTGTCTGGCAGTTTCCTTTGCAAAGCAGGAACCTGAAGGATCATCCCACCTCCTTTTGGCAAAGTTCACTTTCCTATGGGTCCTTCGTGTCCAGTTTATATAACATACTGTCAAGCAGTTCAGGCAAGAGCAGTTTCTTACCCAAATGACTAACCTTTTCTATATTGTA